GATGATGTTTAGGTAATGAAAGGTCTGCAAGGAAATAATCAAGCTCAGGGAGCACTAAGGACCCCTCAGACCAAACCTTCCCATTAGTCCAAGCATTGCCTACACCTCAGCAATTTTAAGATGGGTGGATAGCCCCAGAGCATGCTGGGAACTGCTTGAATTCTGAGAAATGAAGTCCATACATCTTAAGGCTGCTGAAGCTGAGAAACACTATATTGTTCTACTGAAAATGACATACTGTATACCAGAGGTGGTATTCAGCAGGTTCTGACCAGTTCTGGAGAACTGGTAGCAGAAATTTTGAGTAGTTTGGAGAACCAACAAATACCAACTCTGACTAGCCCCGCCCCCATCTATTCTCTGCCTCCTGAATCCCAGCTGATTGGCTGGGTCTTCTTTTGTTGCCCTGCACAGGAGAGCAGTGCTGGAAAGCAGGCTAGTGGGGTGGGGAGGGAATGGGATTTTGCAGTATCCTTCCCCTGAAGTGGGGTGGAAATGCAGATTTTATACTATCCTTCCCCTGCCATGCCCACCAAGCCATGCCCACCAAGCCACACCCACAGAATCATCAGTAAAAAATGTGAATCCCACCACTGCTGTATACCCATATCATATGTATTATTTATATCTTATATACACATGCATACATTAAGGTGACAAAAGAGAAAGAGACCAATCAAAACTGGCTATTTTTTTATTTTACAGAATATTTAAGCATGTAAAACTAGTTATATGTTAGAAGTATGATCCTACAGTATATCTTATTATTTGTAGCACATAGTTTTAATTTATTAACTACTGCTTACAATGCAGTCCATGTTTGGAAACTAAACCCAGTGGCACTGATTTCCAGGTAAAAAAAATTCCTCATAAAAGAATGTAAAAACATGAAACAATGCTTTTTAACTTAGTTAAAGCTGGCCAACTTTCTGAGAACAATTAAAGCTTGAAGTGAGCTTAAGGATATGCATCACCAAAAATATAGGTGTCAGAAATACATCTATGGGTATCCCTCCAAGAATCTATAATATTGAAGCAAAAAAATCGTGATGTCAATGCAAAAATATTTTTTTAAGGATGCTAGTGGAAAACTTTTGGATACGCTTTGGGATCCAGTGTAATGCTGTGGCCTCACCTTGTCCAGATTACCACTGGCTGCATTAATGTTTGCAGGGTTTTTTTGGTTAATAAAACTCTCTTGGCATTCAAGCATTCATCCCATAATGATCTGAGAATAAACTATGTCTTGTGCTCCTCATTGTCATACATGACCAGACAGGGAATATACATTTGGCCCTTCAGGGAATTTCCTTTTGTTCAATTGCACATGAGCAGAAAATCCAAGCTCTAGTTAAATATTGTGCCAGCAAATCTTATTTATTCTCATTTCTAATGTAGAGTTTTGCACAATGCAAGTTGTTATTTCTCTCTGGGAAGGAAAGAGTGTCTGTGAAATTACTCTAAGTAAAGACTATGCATGCCAGAAAAGATGGCAAATGACACAGAGCATTTGTGGCTAGTTTTAATCTCTTCCTCTGTTTTTTCTCTTCCTTTTTCTCAGTGGTAAGCTTGTGGAGGATATGGCCTGCTGTTTCTTCATTATACTGTATTGTTAATGGAAATTAAGCATTTTTACAAACATAGAAGCTCCTTTATTTTGATCAAAATCTTCTTTCATTCCAAAACTTCACTACTGACTCCTTTTTCAGTCCTGACACTATATAATGGAATGCATACTACATTGTGATAGGTAATTATGCTGTTTTAAAAGTGATCAAATACAAATAGAGGCTGTTTTGAAACTAGATGGCTATGCCTAATGTTACTCTAAGTTCTATTTTGTTTGGAAGAAGGAGCCAAATGAGGACACATCATCACTCTGTAAATTTTCTTAACTAGATAAGTAACTTCTGAATTCAAGTAAGTACTATGTGAGCAGTGTATGTGTGTATGTGTGCAAACGTGTGTGTGTATGTGTATTCCTTCAAAGATTTTTTTTAAAGTCATTTCCCAATAACTACAGTAATGGACAATAGATAGTAACAATATTGTAACAATAGATAGGATGGTTCACAAAGTCAATAATTGATTGTTTCCCCAGAGCTGTGGTTTCTCTCCTATAAATTGCAGGTCTAAGCTTTCAGAATCAGCACACGCATTTTAGAAGGACAACATTGAGAATAAATACCAGAAACAAGACTATATTAGAATCTCCTGACTAACAATATTGGGGCAGTTGTGTCATCTGCTAATTCATTGAAAACGCTACAGTCTAACCAACATCTGAAACCAGAGTAGGTCTCCAGAGGCTGTTTTTCCACAAGAGAAATGCCTCATTTTTTAGCAAACACGCCTTTTTCTCAAAAAGCAAGGTGAGTCCCATCTTTTCATTGCAAAAGCATGTTATGTGAGCTGGTGTAACATGGTTGCAAAGAGGCTGAGTTAGAAAGAATGAAATTCAGTTCAAATATCACCAGTGCCAGGAACTCTTTAAATTGTCTTAAGCAATCTCTCTTTTTCTCTCTATTTCAATCCCCCGTCCCATATATCACACTAATTTGCCTTTATAGCTATTCAGATGGATTATAGCTATTTAATACTGGGAAAGTGCTTTGAATTTTGGAAAGTGTGGGGGGGGGAAGTTGGCTTATGGAAACTCAACGCTACAAAAAATGTCACATCTATGTACTAATGTTCATGAGATGATAGAAATAAAGCAACTTTATATATCTTCCTTTTATTTTTAATCTTTAATCCCTTCAAATAATATTATAAAACTTGGCTGTTTTTTTTTTCTTTGTCCCTTCTCACCATCTTAGAAAAGCTTAACAGGTCTCTTGTAAATTCAATATAGCAAAAATATGCCAGTCACTCTCCTGCTTGGTTGATTGTGTGTCCCTTTAATTTTTAAAACATCACACAGTTTCATTTGTTTATCCACTATTTCATCTTTTTCCAGATCATTCTTATGGTTTATCATTATTAAATCCACGTTCAAATCTATTTCAGTCTCATCCACTATAACTTGTTCCTCATCCATACCATCATTCACAGTGATTTTAAAGTATTTTGCTCCATTCTTGTTAACGAATCAAATAGGTGTTTTCCCCGTTTAATTGTAATGTTTATTTCCTTTTAGCTCCCACTGGTGAAAAACTTTCAAAGTCTCATCCTATCATATTACCGGGGATTGTTGGGAGACTTTTTTGGGGGAATTCAAAATACGTCACTTTCCTGTAGGGAAAGATCAATTCTATTAATTTGAAAATTCTGTTTCGAGTCAATCTAGACTTTTAGTCTATTTATAACTACAAAAACAACATTAATAATAATCCTTTGATGTTTATTCCCCAAAATTGCAAAGTCCTTAAAATCACAGTTTAAATTTCTTTCATGAAGGATTGAACTCATTCAGTGAATACCATCAAACTTGCTCTTCTAAAAATTATTAATATTTAAAAAGCAGTAAAAAGTTAATTCAAAATTGACTATGAGGCTTAGTCAAATTTTATCTTCATATATAGTAAGATATATTATGGTTGTAGACATCGATGAAATCCCTTGAATCCCAGCCACTCCATGCACCGACCACAGAAACTTCAGTTTTTACAATCTACTCACAATGATTACCTGCCTGGAGTACATGTGGGCAATTCCATAATCTCTCATTTCTCCAGAGAGATTTTACCAGCCAGGATCTATCCTGTAGCCTATGGCTGGCAATCTCAGATGAAAATTTTCCCCATTCCTTCAGGGATGTCTAGGTTACCATATCCTCACCAGAAATCCACAAACACACAGTCCTCATGAGCTGCTGCCTGTAGATGTCCTGAAAGCAGAAAATGATTTTTGACTTATTTTTATTTTCCTCCAGCACAGGAAAGTATGTTGTACTAAATGACATCAGGCAGTGGTCTGTCAGCTCACTGCTGCCCACATTAGAAGTATGGCAATTTGGTGTTCCTATTGTTTGTCCCACATGAGGTCAGTGGGAGTTGATTTCAAACTCCTGGAGGCACATTGCATATTCTTGCTCCATATCGACAGCTGAGACTTCAAATAGAATTTCTTCCTTTAAACTACCGTGGGTTCAACTGGATGCCTCTTACATGCAAATTGCTCTACTATTGGATAGCAAGCTTTTCCCGTTATGATTCTGTAATCTTATAAAAGCACCATATTTATGTAAGCTGCAAGTAGTATCTATTTCTTTGGAAAACATGTGTCTTTTCTTACATGTCAGGGAAATTTATTTATTACATTTCTACTCCACCCATTGCATCTAAGTGACACTGGGGAGTTTATAACAGGGAAACCTTGGAATTAGAATATGTAGGTAGATTGGATTGAGAGCAGCATCAAGGCAGAGGCAACAGATCAGAGGTGAAAGCTGACGGTTTGGCCCGGTTCTCCAGAACTGGTAGTAAAAATGCTACCGGTTAGGGCGAACCAGTATTTCCGACAATCAGTTGGGTGACGATCAGCTGTGCCGTGTGATTTAAATTAGCTAGAAAGCAGGAAATTGTTGGGTTTCTTGCTTTCTAGCTAATCTAAATCACACAGCACAGCTGATCCCCCACTCTTACTGTTGTACTTACCTTGGAAGGCCTCAAAATGCTTCTTTTTTCAGTGCCCAGGCTTCCCTGAGGCCCAGTAGGCCAAAAATGGGGCATGGGGTGGTGCTGCGTGGCCTCCCTGCACCCTGTTTTTGTTCCCAGGAGGCTTCCCTGAGGGCCAAAACTGGGCAGGGAGACTTTTGACACCCCCCTCCCCAGTCATGACTACATAGCCATGCCCACCCAGTCACATGACCACATGGCCGTGCCCACCTAGCCACGCCCACTTAGCCATGCCCACAGAACCAATAGTAAAAAAATTTGAAACCACCACTGCAACAGATGTAATCCATATAGAGAGAAGTTCATTTTTCAGCATGCCTCACTTGTAATCTTGTGTGAAAATTGAAGGAATTTCATTTTAAATTAATTAACAGATTGCAGACTTTGGAAAGAGATGAAGATGGAAACTGTACTCTGGTGGAAGAATTCATTCTCTTGGGTTTCTCAGAATCTCCAGAGCAGGATCCTCCATTGTTTGCTATCTTCCTCACAATATACACCATCACCCTGATAGGGAATCTGGGAATGATTATATTAATCAGGATCAGTGCTCAGCTTCATACCCCCATGTACTTTTTCCTATGCAATTTGTCTATGGCTGACATCTGTTATTCATCAGTTATCACCCCTCGTATGCTAACGAGTTTTCTAACCGGTTACAAATCAATTTCCTTTGATGCATGCTTTGCTCAGCTCTACTTTTTTGTTGCCTTGGTGTGCACTGAATGTTTCCTGCTGGCCACAATGGCCTATGATCGTTATGTAGCCATCTGTAATCCCTTGCTCTATCCTACAATTATGTCCCAAAATATCTGTGTCACATTGGTTGCTGGTTCGGGTTTTCTTGGCTTGACAAATGCCATGCTAACAGTATGCTTTTTAAGTAGTTTACATTTTTGTGATTCTAACATTATCAGGCATTTCTTCTGTGACACTCCTCCCTTAATAGCACTCGCCTCCGATCACTATGTCACTGAAATGACCATATCACTTCTGGCTGGGTATACCACCCTTGCATCCTTGCTCATCATTCTCTTATCTTATATCTTAATTCTGGCCACCATCCTAAAGATCCGTTCTGCTCAAGGCAGGCGTAAGGCCTTTTCTACTTGCACATCTCACCTGACAGCTGTCTCAGTCTTCTATGGGACTCTGATATTTACCTACCTTCGCCCAAATACCAGCTACTCATTGGGCCAAGATCAGGTGGCCTCTGTCTTCTACACTGTGGTGGTGCCTATGCTGAACCCTATGATCTACTCTCTCAGGAACAAGGAGGTGAAAGAGGCTTTCAAGAAATCAGTTGGAATAAAATGGGGTTCAGGATGAATGTAGTACTACTTCAATGATAATGGCAAATTACAAAAATTCAAATAATTGCAATACAAAAATGAAATGACAAGAGAATTTAAAATATTATTTTCCTTATGTTGTTATCTGGTGAGCATTGTTTCCAATTCTCACACAGGTATCTCATTTGTTTAAAAGATAACCATTAACCTGGCATTGCAAAACCATTGAACCATCTTTAATGTTGTAAATTTTTCTTGTTAACTATAATTTGAAGAGCTGAGTAAGCCATAAACCATGGAAGCCTCCAGTTCCCAAAGTACTTCAAAGTTTGTCAGCAGCAGGATTATTTTTCATAGTAGAATTTTCAGGAGGATAATGTTCTCCTGTGTGTTTTTTTAATTTGAGAGTTAGTACATGCATATGTCTTACTTAACTGTCTCCAAATTTAAAATGGACCAGAATTTCCTACCCTAATCACTGCTGACGACCAGATTAAAAATAACAGACTAAAATTGTGCATCCATGTTTTGTTTAATACATGCCAGACAGTGGTGGGATTCAAAAATTTTTACTACCAGTTCTGTGGGCATGGCTTTGTGGGCGTGACAAGGGAAGGATACTGTAAAATCTCCAGTCAAAGATGGTATTTGCCGGTTCTCCAAACTACTCAAAATTTCTGCTACCAGTTCTCCAGAACTGGTCAGAACCTGCTGAATACTGGACTTTCTCAATTGTGCTAATATCAGATACGTAATGTGGGTTCCAGACTGATGAGCTGTATTCAAGTATTGGTCTAGCAAATGTTTTGTATGCTTTGTGAAATATTTCTGGACTTTCTCAACTGTGCTAATATCAGATAGTTAATGTGGGTTCCACACTGATGAGCTGTATTCGAATATTGGTCTAGCAAATATTTTGTATGCTCTAGTTAATAGTGTGATATTACCAGAGAAAAAGCTACATAGGATTAGGTTAACAATGCCTTAATGCCTTTTTGGCTATGTAGTTACAGTGGGTTCTAGCACTTAGATCATTAGAGATGAGTATTCCAAGGTCCTTGACAGAGCTTGGATCATCAACAAGGTCTTGACTATTCAGCTTGTATTTTATTTTCTGATTTTTTTTGCCAATATGTAAGACAGAGCATTTATTTGTTGAGATTTGAAGTTGCCATTTGTTTGACCATTCTGATACATAGTCAAGATCTTTTTGAAGGGTAGCAGTATTGTCTGTGGTATTGAACAGCAGTATTGTCTGTGGTATTGAACAGACTCTTGTCAATAAAAATAGCATACAAAATCCATTGTGCAGCTGTCATTTATTATGCATAGATATGCGATTCAGGAGAATATGGACATAATATTGAAAACTGTTTCAAAGTCAGTATATGAAAGAACATCTTTCAATAATATAAGGACATCACAAAAATATGTCTGAATGAAGCATTATTTTTATTTCATTTTCTACAAAACAGTAATGTATTCATTCTTTTCCAACCATAATGTGGTACAATAAATCAAAAATGATACATTTTGCAATAAGCTGCAATCTAGGGTGTAAAAAAGCCTTTTTCATATGGAAGATAATACAACCTCCCATTGTTTAGACAAAATGGACAATTCCTTTTTCCATTTTGTGTTTTGAGTTTTTATATTGAATTAATTTATAAATATGTGACATTTAACAAAGGAAATTTGTAAAATTTGGGGGAAGAAAGAAATTTCATCACAATCAATTTTCCATATCAAATGACAGTTTTTCAGCCAGCAGGATTTCATTTTTTGCTTTTGTCTTAAATAAATCAATACTTCCACAAGTCAAATATTATCTGATCCATGCCTAGTTGTAAAATAGTCAATTTCTTTATTCTTAACCATGGAAGAAGACACTTTGTAGACCCTATTAGTTAAAACAGCAGATAAGATTTTAATATCTACATTAATCAATCAGATGGGATCATAAGTTTTTTATTCATAAAACACCATATCAATGGCTGTCTTTTGCTTTTTTTTGTTTAGTGTATTTATGCCACATCTTTTGAACAAGATGCTCACACAACTATGAAGAAGCTTACTGCGTTAAGAAGACAAGAGTACCTAAAGATCAACTTACAAGTCTACCACTCTTAGCTCCCACACTATTACAGATCTCTAGGGAGTCCACAAGCAGTTCATAAATACCTCAGTCCTATTCCGATCATGTTTCATGCTCACCCCCATTTCATCCTTGCGATAACAACTCTACAAGGAAGGCTATGAGAAGAAATCTGAGCCAAAAATTCTCTATGAACTTCATGAGAGGGCCTAAGTTTCCCCAGGAATAAATTGCCTTTCTCTTTAAATTGGGGGTACTTTGCTTTGGAGTAATGGTGACCATGGATGCCAGTTGTAATCCATAAACAGGTGAATTATGCGTGCCTGTCTGAAGGGGAAAAAAACATTCATTCAGAATGTTGCATTTTTACTACTTTTTAAAAAATAGTCACACATTCCCCCTTGCTTTATGAATAATGTAACCACAATGTGCTGGAAGTAATATTAACAAAGAGCAATTTAGGTAATATCACTATGGTAATGTCATAGTGGTTGTATCAGAGTGTCAGTGGGGATATTAATTGATAATTGATAATTCTTATTTTCATGGGTGTGTTTTACTGTGAATGCTTTTTTTATACTTATCTTCCTGAATATATTTTATTAATTTGTGGGTGATTTAATTATTAGTGTATAAATTACCAATGTCTGCTTAGGTTTGGCAGTGCGCAAATATAAGAAAGGGGAGAGGAGGATGTTCCCCCTCCCATTTCGAGTTAACAATTTTATTTGTTTATTTAAATTTATATGGAGTCTTCATAGCATCCAGACGCAGCAACAATTACAACAACGTAACCAATTTAAAACACCAAAATAAAATGATCAAAACAAAAACATAAAAAAGCCAAAATCCCAGGAGAATAACAGTCACTTAATAGCGTTCAACCACCTTGCAAGCTTCTTGTGTGAAGCATTTTTGGAAGGCTAACAAGGATGCAGCCAATCTCACCTTGGAGGGAATGATGTGGTAGAATAGGTAGAGCCACAGAAGAAAAAGCACAACTTCTGGATCCCACAAAATGAAATTCCTTAGCAGAAAAAAATCTGCAGCGGACCTCTCCTGCTTTTCAAGTCTTTTCAAATCTAAATGGATCTAAAGTAACATGGAAATATTTCATCTCTTACCTATTTTCCATAGGAGGTTTAATTTTCTCCTAATAATTACTTGTTAATGGAATCTTCTATTAGCTGATAAGAACACAAGCTGTTGAAAACATAGGAATTACTGGGGATTTCCGGTTTGTCGGCTTTGCGAGCGGTAGGGATTCGCGAAGCTGCGCGATCCCTGCCGTGCTAGCCGCTTTTGGGGCTCCGATCCGAAAGGGTGCGGAGCAAGGCTGCCCTGCAGGGGCAGCTGAAGGTAGGGGGGATCCGGAAAAGGGTTTGGGGGTGTTGCAGACCCCCTCCCTGGCCGGCAGAATCTCCTTTTACCAAGACGGCGTAGCGGCGGTCCGTAATGGCCGCCACAAAGAAGCCGGCAGCTGGGCAAGTATGCGCAGGAGGAAGAGAAGAAAGTTTTTAAAAGTGAAAGTTTTCTTGGTCGATCCAGGACTCTGAGATATATTTAATTTAATTCCTGGAAGTGATGGCTTTTTCGATGATTCTTTCCACAAGAGAAAGTAAGCGGCAATTCTGAGGTGCTGAAAGGAAAGTTTACTCTCCCTCCCGACGGAATTAACAAATGGATATTGAGAAACCTGTTTTTTTTTCAGGTAAAACTAGCTTTATGGGATAAGTCGGAAGGGAGAGGACAAAAAATATATTTATCTGGCTGGATTTTGTTGGAGGAGATGCCTTAAGGATTTGGAGACAGAAATAAAATTTTAATAAGGCTTCAAAACACAGATTTGGATTTTCTTTTTTCCTTTGTCTGATACTACCCCTGGAAGAGAAAGTGGGAATTTTGGCTTGGCTTGGATTGATTGAGGATTGTGGACTTTGGGATTGTCTTACTTTTCTTTTGGAATATTTTGGTTGGAGTAAGAAGAAAGAGGGAAAAAAGAAAAGAAAAGATTTATAATGGCTTTCTCCCTTGAGGAACTGAGGGATGAATATGAGCAAACAAAAGCAGCCTGTAAAGATGGTATGGAAAAAGCTTTTCTATTTTTAGAAATGGCGTTGGTTAACTATGAACAGACAATGCGACAGATGGAACAACAACAAGATGAAGACGAAGACACCATCTTTAATGAATCCCAAAATTTACCTAAGGAAGAAGGAAGGAAGAAAGCGAGGAAAATGAAGGACTTAAGATCTAAAAAAACATTTAAGAAAGAGAAAAATATGATGCAAAATAAATATAATGATAGCAAACAAGAGAAAAAGGGAATACAACAGAGAAGGGATGCCAGCAAGACAGAGGTTAGAAGAAGGGGGGTAGGAAGATCGGGTGGGGGAAGAAAGAAAGGGAAAGGCGGAGAAAAGCCACAAAGTTTTAAAATTGGATGGGAAAAGAGGAATCTTTTTCAGGGATAAAGGGTAAAGTATAAATTTTCTTAAAAAAGATTTTGCAAGGTACATAAGACGGTATTGTAATATTTGTATTAGAAATAGAAAATTAGAATGGCTTAAGAGTTAATAAGAAATTAAAACGTTGAAATGTTTAATAATGATTGATTTTTAAAATGTAATAAAATATTGAAGGGAAAGGCAATGAGTGTTATAAGATTTATTATTTAGATTTATTATTTAACTACGTATTTAGGAGGATACTATGTATTTAAACATTTCTGATTTATTACTCTGTTTTTATTGTTATTAAAAGTAAAAATTAATAGATAGAATGTACCAAGCAGAATCAGATTGGATATTAGGTGTCATTTTAAATGTTAATCTAATATTTAGGGAGAGGATAGAAAGGCATCATACTCTGATTAGAGATTTCAGGAGAAATTCTTTTTTTTTTCATTATAAGGAATGAGATAGAGTGATAATAAAGGATGGGCAAAAGATACAAATATAATGATTTAAATTAAGATGGATTGAATAAGATAGAATTATGAAGAGTGAAATGTGTGGAGAAGTATATATAGAAGATACAGAATGGTAAATAAAATAGGTAATGATCTGTAAGATGAGCATGAATATAATTAAAGCCCATATAAAGAGAGGTACCGGGGGCCAAGTTACTTTACTAAAAGATTTTTTATATGTTTGTTTGTGTCTGTTTATGTTTTTGAGAAGTATTGGTGAAACCTTTTAGAAACACAGAAAGAGAATGACGATAATCAAGTCAGAAAGAAATAGAGGACAAGAGATGTTTTTATGTTCATTTAGAAATGGTTTAAAATAGAATTGTATTGTATAAGATAAGGTTTTATCTGACTTGTAAAATTTATAATGGAAAAAGGTTCAAATATGTAATGGTTGATGATGATTTGTTTGTTTTTGAAATTAATAAAACTTGTTTGTTTTTTTTTAAAAAAAAAAGAAAACATAGGAATTACTTACTGCATAGGCAGGAGGGGCAAAGGGCTGGGTTTCTTTGAAAGTCAGCCTGAAGATTAATCTGTTGTTTGGGAGAGAATAGAGTAGAGTAGAGTAGAGTAGAGTAGAGTAGAGTAGAGTAGAGTAGAGTAGAGTAGAGTAGAATAGAATAGAATAGAATAGAATAGAATAGAATAGAATAGAATACTTTATTGGCCAAGTGTGATTGGACACACAAGGAATTTGTCTTGGTGTAAATACTCTCAGTATACATAAATAAAAGGTACATTCATTAAGAATCAAGAATCATAATGTACAACACTTAATGATAGTCATAGGGTACAATCAACAATCAAATCATACTAGGAAACAGTCAAGTGGGAGGGGATGGGTGATAAAGAGTGGTGAGAAGATTAACAGTAATAGTAGTGCACACTTTGTAAATAGTTGAACAGTGTTGAGGGAATTATTTGTTTAGCAGAGTGATGGCTTTCGGGGAAAAACTGTTCTTGTGTCTAGTTGTTCTGGTGTGCAGTGCTCTATAGTGTCGTTTTGAGGGAAGGAGTTGAAACAGTTGGAGAGGCTGTTTCACTACAAATTTATCCTTTATTCCCCTCACCTGTAGCCTTCTCTTTCCAGTGGAGCTACCATTTAACCCATCTCATCCTGATTTTTTTTAATCTGCTTCTGCTGACATGTGGGAAAGGAATGCAGGTGTTCTGGTATGATTCAGCAGATGGATAGAGAATGGTCAGTATGTTTATTGGCAGGGTGTACAAGTGAGTCTGTAAATGAATATGTGCAAGTGACTCACAATAAATTTTAGGTAGCTCAAAAATGAAACATCAAACCATTTTCAACTCTAAGTCACACTAACCAACAAGAAAACATAGCATCAGTATTCTATTGGTTTGGCTGGGTTCAGCAAACTGGTAGCTCCAAGGATCATCTGTGAGCAAACTGGTTCACTCTGATGATCAACTGCTGGGGCCTCCTACCCACCCTGGCTGTATACTGACCTTTATTTCCTGCTTTTGAAGCTCAGCTGCTTCGCATGGCACAGCAGATTGCCATGTGTCAGCTGTTGAAGAGACAGGGAGAGTGCAGGATAGCAGGAGGTCAGTATCAAACCTTCTGCACACGCCCACCAAGCCACGCCCACAGAACCGGTGATAAAAACAGTTGAATCCCACCACTGCATAGCATGTAACTCCAAACTAAAAGTAATTAACTCAAATAGTATCCAAAACCCATAGAAATGAAGTTTTAGTCATGTTTAGTATGGTATGGAGAATTGGGGAACATTCTGAATGAAACTTAGGTATCTCAACAATATTAAATATGCTCTGACATGTTGGTGCTTGTAAGAGTGTGATGACATCAGTCTAGAATGGGGTCTTGGCCTGTGGGCCTATGTCCCCTCCCAGGAATTAAAAGGGTCTGTGTCTTATCATCCATACTTATATGCATACATAAGTGTAGGCTTATTATTGAAATTGCTGCAAAGTTTTTCTTTCTTTCTTTCTTTCTTTCTTTCTTTCTTTCTTTCTTTCTTTCTTTCTTTCTTTCTTTCTTTCTTTCTTTCTTTCTTTCTTTCTT